TAAAACCAAGTCAATAATAGACCTTATATTTATAGTCAACTATTATGAAGCCTATGGTGTTACCACAAATGTGCAGTTGCTGATACCTATAACATAAACCAGGTTAAAAGATCAATATAATATAACCCATAAACCATCGACCGTTTTGATACAAACTGATTAAAAAAGAAGTTAGTATCAAACTTAATAATAATTAAGAGCACTGATCTATATCAAATTGTTCAAAAGCATAAAATAAACTTTATAAATACTTAAATAATACGTTGATCACCTCCCCCTTATGGCTATGTCACTGGCTGCAGTGTCATGTTGTTATTCATATAACACATTAAATACATTTAATTTTCCGAAGAGTAATCTAAACTTTTAATTTCACTAAACGTAGTGGGATGATTGTGTTTTAGAGTGTTTACCGTTGTCTTCTATGGAATGTAAAAATGAATAGGTATTTAGAAATAAATCCAACCAGTAAATTACATAGTGACAGCTATAATAGTTTTTAAAAAATCGATGAGTTCAGTGTAATTCCTGAAACTTTTAAAATTAGCCATTCTGTGTAAAGTACCTATGTCCTTTAATAGTTGTAATTTCAAATTTACACTAGTCATAAAATTCATTTTTTTATTGTTATATAATAACTATATATATAGAATTTTAGATTCTGAGTAAAGTGATGAATGTATTGATTTTACAATGATATTTATTTTTGTTTTTCTGTGGACAAATTTTCTACAAGCAGCAATTGCGACGATTTTCAAGTATATAGCACTTTTTCTGAAAGTAAATCTCACTAGGGTGGTAATTTAAGGAAGTCATTATTTGATTTTCACAGAGGTTTTCATGATAAATGGGAAAAACCGGGAAAAAACGTAGGAAAAGAAATTTACAAAATATATTTGAAAATATCAATTCGTAAATATTACGGCCTTTTAAAACATATATAACGGAACTCCCCTCAGAATCATTTTTCATTAGTAATGATTATTCGTTGGGTACAGATATTCAATTCCCTTTTATATCCTGCCTTCTCAACTTACTATAAACGTACAACAGTGGCCCACCCATCGTGTGAAGTATGTCCGTCTTTTTTTTTTTATCGAATTGTACTCGTATATTGCATAAAGTATTAAGTATTGAATCTTGCCTCCTACCTTCTAGAAAAACGGCTATGTGCTCTAATGGCCATAAGAGGTAAATAGTTGAAAATTCCAAAATTATTTCAAGCAGATAGCATCCTATGGTAGAAATTCTATATCTTTTAAGGCACGACAAGAAAAAATCATAGCACTTTTACTAACCGAAAAAAACTTTTCGAGAAAAAAATTCATCTAGTAAAATTGTATTAATTTTCGGCTCGTTAAATATTTTAGATGAATTATAAATGTAGTTAGAATAAGGTATAAAGTTATAACTTTGGACTACTGCAGGAATTTGCAGTACTATTTGAAGTCTAATTCAACCGATTACATAATTTGACAAATTTAGTTTTATTAACGACCGACAACGGTGCTGAGCTATAACTAGTTCGAAAGGTTTAAAAATTAATTTTTCTAATACTGCTATAATTATAATTTATTTTATAACTTAACCAGTGAATTTCAATTATTCTTAATAACTTTCTAACATAACGGGTTACATTATAAAGGTGAAAGGTTTAATCATAAAATAAATATTAAGTACTTACTGTTTTATATTTAATTATCTTTTAAGATGATGTGACACATTATATAANCCCTTGTTCTAATACACCCTGTCACTTCTTTTTTCTTACTATCCTCTAGTTGTTTTCTGTTATTATTTCCAGTGATTAACATCTGACTCCCAGAACCTTAATTCTCATTACTGTAATCTTTATCATTATCTTTCTTACTATCATCATCCTCTTTTTTTATCTATATTCATAACATCATCATTAATAAACTTGTCCTTAATCTTAAATTTTTTTTTTATATAACAATTATTTCTTCTCAATATTTTCCCTTTTGCATTTTTTACATAGTATGACCTGAGCCATTTTGTTTTCTTCTTATTAGATAGATATTAAATATAATATGGTTTAATAACTGAGCATTTTTTCCAACTATTTTTTACATGAAAAAGTATTCCATCGAATTTCAAATCGTTTAATCATTAAAAAATAAAAAAACTGATAAAATAAAAGCTCAGCCGTCGAAAACGCGAAAATTTGATCCAAAAACGTAGTGGTTGTCTATTATAAACAGGGGCATAATTACAGGAAAATGTGGGGAATTGTATCCCCCTATGATCCGTATTTATATAGTATACTGCTGTTTTATAGAAATTAGAAGTTAAAGTGCAAATTTTTAAAATTATTAAGAGATTAAATAATTTTTTTAATTTTTAATTGTATTAGTGAGTACCAAAATATTCCTAGTTTATTATTATAATAGAAATATTCTCGATACCAAGTTGATATTAAAATAAATGGTACGTAATTTCATGGTTGTACACTACGGGTTTCGAACGTCGTGATTTTAAAAATGTCAATGATTATGGATAACTTGAATATTAAAATATTAACTAAAAGACAAGTTTAGACAAACTTAAATTAAACAAAATTAGAAAAGACAATTTCAGGTTATAGTTTAAGTTTTGAAGACGACAATGAAGTATCAATATGTATACCTTAGCAAGATTTTTTTATAAAATAACTAGAAGAGAGATAAAGGTACAATTTAAAATAATAATAAAAATTAAAGTATTTACAGTATTATCATTATGACATTACAAATGGATCATTATGATAAAAAATATGTATCTGTATATATTATTAAAATTTAAACTTCAATTATTATTTATGTACAATGTACAGAGCTGGGTCTAAAGCAAGTTTCCATAAAGCCATTATTAAATGTATGCAATCTCGTTTAGAAATTTTACATTTGTCTAAAACCGCAACTAACCGTGGAATTAACGATTCCCTACGATATCCTTTTTTGGCTGTTATAATTTATTAATTTATTTCCATATAGATTTTCTTCCCCATTACAATCTCCTAGAGATTCCGAAGATGAACTTTTATAATCAGAAATAATATTGTTCACTAAAATATTTAAATAAAACATAATTATAATTATTGAATGTATTATTACCTTTTGTTTGAGTGAATAGGGATAATTCATTTTATTTTTAAGATAAAATTATTACATAAATACATATCGTAACAATAGACACACCAGATAAATTTCAACAGTTATTATTTTGTAAGACTTATTATTATTACTATTATTAGTATTACTAATTATTATTACACACTATACTATATATTATTGCCGTATTTAGTAAATATTACATTAGTAAGATTCCAATTCCATAAATGACCTAGCAAAATCTAACAAATTACTAGCAATTTTTTGATATCACTTTTGAGTTCATTGGACAATGTGTTGATACTAAGTCATTTTTCATTAATTTAGTTAGTTAAATTAACTTAATTTTATTTAGCAATCTATATTGTTTACAATATCATACAAAATTGTTTGAATATGAGTGCTATCCTAAATTATTAATCAACCTTTCTAAATTATTTTAACGAATTTGTTGTAATTTATAGTGGTAAAACTTTAAGAACCTTACTTTTAGATGAAATGAAGTTTGGTGAATTTGTCAATTTGTTTCAAGTGGTCTAACAAATTTAGTTGACTATACTCCAAAGCATCAAATTAATAAAAAAGCATATCATGTATTAGTCCTTAATCCTTGTGTACCATTCAGTTTGTGATAAATAAGTGTACAATCTTTAGCATACTTTTCAAGTAAAGCTTGTGCACGAAGGACTATATTAAACAGAAACTGTCAAATTTGATAATGTAATGTAGTTTTAGTTTGAACCATTTTAATAGTAAAAAGAACCTTGATAATTTGATTGAAAATGAAATACAATTTTTAAAACAAATTTAGAAATCTTGAATTTTAGTATAAAATATAATATACTAAATATATAGTGGACACTTACCAACGAAGATAGTAAATTAAATCAATGCAAAACTTACCAACAAAATTATCTTTATTATTTTCAAGGAGACAAAAATGAATTATTCCCTTGTGTATATTTAACATCTGTCATAAAATATAACTCTCGTCCGCCAAAGTGATACCCTCTCATCTCAATTACAAATCCGAACAAGGATACCCCAAGGAAGTAATTTATCACCAGACAGGGGCGGAGTGCCTCGAAAATTCTTACGGGGAAAATATATATGTCCAGGCCACTTAAATATTTACCATTTTTTGATACCATTGTGGGAGTTGTATACCTATTTATAATTTTTGTTTAATGTATAAACACATTTTTGGACCATACATTTGTAGAACATTTCATCATCTAATTAATATCATTAACATCCCTTCCATAGTATCCACCATTCAACCATACATATTTGTTTTATTTTTTTTTGTGTGTAAAATAGTATCAAGCATAAAAATGTTTGACCATTATATCAAGTATTTGTAACAAAAAACTTCCTCTAAATACATAATTATACACAGGTATTATTTATATTTATACAAATAGATCACAATAAATATGTATATATTGTAAAACATTTTGACTTCTTGTTTTAGAAAATTTTAACTACACAGATTTACTACTTAAAATATGTTTAAATATGTACATCTAAATTAAGTATTTACGATGTCATTAATAAATGGGATTCAATCAATTAGAAAAATACAAATATTTAATAAATAAATAATAATATTTTACAATAGAAATATGCTTAATAAATTACTTTTACTATCCAACTCGTTGGTAATAACATCGTTATCCAATTCTATGAGCATTGATTTTTCAATTGACATTAACATAAATTCTTCCAAATGCTCATTAGTCATTGAGTTCTGTAGTCTATTTTTTATATACTTCAATGTGGAAAAAGATCTCTTACGGTACTTTTAGAAACTGGTAGGGTCAACAGATATTTATAAGCTATTGTTAATAAATTGTATACTGTATGCATTAGAAAATAAGTTGTACTTAACTATAATTTGTAACAACAAATGGCACAATTTTTACAAGTAGTGTTGCAAGGTTTTAATTGGTTTTCTAAGTCTTCCTCTTCTTGATTTTCATCTTCATCATTCATATTATTTGATATATTATGAACATGATATTCATCTTCTAAGGAATTTTTCAAATAATTCCACAATTTACTGAAATTAAATAGTTGCTCTAAGAGTTCAATTCTTTTTTCTTCAAGATTTTCTTCATCATCACGATATAAAAATGGTTTTAATTTTTTAGCCAATGTTAAAAATGCATTTTCTGGTACATTATTAAAAGTAAAATTATTTGGAGATAAAAGTGATAGATCAACAAACAGTTAAATTAAAACGATCAGCCATAGTTACAATTTCATTATTAATATTAATTATATACTTATCACTAAATTTTTTTACATCTTCCATACTACGTTGTATATTTTGAAGCAAAGAAAAGTATTAGTACTATAAATGAAGAGTCTTCCTCTGATAGTGCAGCGTTTAATGTAAAGAATACTGGCAAATTTTCTTTTAAAAGTTATTATTGTGATAGAATTGAACATAAATCAGCTGAATGTAAGCTTAAAAGGAAAACGTTTTATAAAGGAAAGAACAGATCCGAAGAATTGTATAAACAAAAACCAATAGCTAACAATGTTTCGGAGAATGATGACGGAAGTGTGTGTTTCTCAGTAACCACGTTGCTAACACAACAAAATGAAGAATTAAACGAAATAACATGGTATCTTGATTCGAGCAGTTTCGATCATTTAGTACACAGCGAGAGATATTTTTCATTTCTGAAAGTACTAGAAAATCCAATGATCATAGGTGTCGCTAAAAATGGAGAAAATCTAACCGCAACAAAAATAGGTACAATAAATACATACAGTCAAGTAGAAAGTAAGACTATTTTATGTAAATTTAAAAATGTATATTATGTTCCACATTTAAGATATATTTTGTTGTCTGTTGGTAAAGTTGAAGAACTTGGTTTTAAATTTTTTTTTGAAAAAGGACAAGCAAGTGTGTTGAATTCAAATCAGAATATAATAGCAATAGCTAAAAGAACCCAAACACTATAAAAATTAATTTTTACTCTAGACAATACTCGAGATAATAGCATTAATATTAATAGCTGTGTCTAAATTTAATGATTCTTGTGGATATCTCTGTCCATCAATTTCTAGCCAAATATTTTTTACATTACAGTGATCAAAAAGTAGCTTTTTTTAATTGTGCTTTTAGTCCATTTGTTTGGAAAGCAACAATTACAAATAATGGATTATGAATGTTTCTATTTGTACTTGCAATATTTCTCTTGAATGTTTTATCACTTAAGTTGATTTAATCCATACATTGCCAAGATTTAAAATTTAACCTATAATTATGCCATTGAGATAATTTTGTTAATTCATTTATTAATTGTATCTTAATCATTTCTTGATATTCCACTAGTGGAATCGTAATCTGAAAATCCTCAATAATAACTTTTCCAACAGCTGGTATTGCTGCGGTTGTAAAAGCTCATCTGTACAATGCATCATCATTTTTTGCTCTCTTAAAATTTATCTTAATTCCTCTTTTGAAAACTGGATGTTGAATATCTTTAAAGAAACCTAAACATAAATTAGATAAATTCCCAACAGCTTCAAATCTACTACTGCCTTTAAATCTTGATTGAAATCCTGAATTAATTATTGGACCATTCTGATCTATTGAAAAACTAACACATCCTTTGATTATACTTGCTCTACCAATATTTCAATTTGATCTATTAATGTTTCATTTTTTGTTACATCAATTTGAGATAATAAAATGAAACAAAATAATTGTCCAATTGTGCATTACTTTTAGCTTCATATTCAGTAATATCTTGTTTTAAGTATTTTCCACTAATAATATATTTTACACGTTTAATATTGAGAAAGCTATCAGAACCTTTTATTTCGAAAGTTATTACACCACCATCCCTATTAAAATTTGTTTCTGATGTTGCTTTATATGTTTCATATTGTGATTGAATAATATGATCATCATATTTATTAAAAATGCTTTCCATTTATTATAGAAAATAAAAAATAAAAGAGAAATTGATTTAAATTTTATATAATTAAGAAATATGAAAGATTTTGTTAATAATAAAGAAAAGTATGTAAAGTTTCATCCTTGGGATCAGTACTTACCCTTTAATTTTACAAAAAAATATTTCATTTTAAGGATCCAATATTTTATTCTAATTTTACTTTTGAAGTTTTAGGTGATTATATTAATGAAAAGATTCAGTATATACCAGAAAAATATCAAAATTTTTATTCATTAAAAATAGCAAATATTAAAACACATTTAACTGTTTTAAATAAACAAGTTAATAAAATTTGTGAAGAATGATCTGTTGATACTTCTGAACAGCATAAAGAAATCTTCATAACTTAAGAACACATTTTTTTAATCAGAAACCTGATTAAAAAAAGATTTAGATGTATAATTTAGATATATTTTTTATAATTTTTAATAAAATCCAAACATAAATATCCACAAATAGGTGGAAATCTTCTAGATGTTTTTTTAAGATTATTTTCTCCTAAATATTTTACTATTTCTTTTTTGGTGGATTATCATCAGAATTGAAATGAATTTTTAAACTTTCATGTTTTATCCATGCAACCCAATGTAATCCTCCTTGATCATAATTATTTAAATTTAATATTCCACATTCATTCGTTAAAGTTTCTATAGACAATTAATTTCTCATAAAACATCTTCGAACATTTTTTTACCAGCTTTCGTGATATCGAAATTAGGTAATGTACTGATTTTCTTTTTTTTTTTATCACAGGAGTACTACAATATCTTTTCTTCTTTTTAATTCCAGATCCAACTTGTAAAGTTTATTATTAGTTAATTAACATTATTGAAAATTTTTTAAATTTCTTTATTATGTCTTTCTTGTTCGTTTACCGCTACTATCTTATGTTTTGTTTCTATAATAGTATTTGTAATTGAACTTATTCCCCCAGCTAATGCACTTGCAGCTCTTATTCCAACAAAAAGAAGTGGAAGAAATCCACCTTATTTAATTTGTTCATATTTAAATTCTAATCTTGATCATTTTTTTTCTTAGATTTGTTTAATTAATTTATTTGCGTTTCGTTTAAATTAAACTTTTTATTTCCTGTTCCAATTTGATTGTTTGCAAGCTGTATTGTTACCCTTTTTTTTTACTNTATAACATTTTATTAGAGAATATACAATCTATACCCAAAGGCATAATAAAAATATGTGCTACATTATATTAAAAATAAACATGAATAGGGTGAGGGAAGAAACCATCCAGTGATCGCACTTCTTTTTGCTTAAATATATGTGCAACTATATATATTTTTTAATTATTATTAAAATTTTTTTTTCTTTTTTTTCCCCCGTTATTCATTTAGAAGATCTCTACACCAGTTTCTTTTTAATCGTCGTGGAGGGTTTCCAGGAATTGTGCGAGTAGCTAAGCCGGATATCAGGAGATTTGAGTGAGCAGACAGTTTGTTGAAAAAACGTTTGTAATACATTTTAGCTTCTTCGTGAATGGTTTTCATTTTTAAATCAGAGTGGAGAGTATAATTAGAGATATAAGGGGGGGCATTAGTGATGGAGCGTAAGATTTTATTTTGAACAGTTTGTATTTTATTAAGGTTGGATNTGTAACACATTTTAGCTTCTTCGTGTATGGTTTTCATTTTTAAGTCAGAGTGGAGAGTATAATTAGAGATATAAGGGGGGGGGGCATTAGTTATGGAGCGTAAGATTTTATTTTGAACAGTTTGTATTTTATTAAGATTGGATTTTTTGGCATTACCCCACAGTTGGAGACCATATGTCCAGATAGGCTTAATTAATGATTTGTAAATAAGCAATTTGTGCATTTTAGGTGAGTTTTTTTTTCCCTTCCGTGTTGCGCCCATGTGAGGCGACGATCAATGGTTAGCCCTAAATACTTGACAGATTGAGATGAAGGTATAGGTATGCCAGCTAAGGAANCATTATCCCACAGTTGGAGACCATATGTCCAGATAGGCCTAATTAATGATTTGTAAATAAGCAATTTGATATTTAATTTAGAATGTTTATTAGTTAATAACGTTTTGAGCAACCGGATACGTGCATTTAAGGTGAGTTTTTTTTCCCTTACGTGTTGCGCCCATGTGAGGCGACGATCAATGGTTAGCCCTAAATACTTGACAGATTGAGATGAAGGTATAGGTATGCCAGCTAAGGAAACTTCGGGACAGGGAGCAAGGCGAANCTTATTCCCCCAGCTAATGCACTTGCAGCTCTTATTCCAGCAAAAAGAAGTGGAAGAAATCCACCTTATTTAATTTGTTCATATTTAAATTCTAATCTTGATCATTTTTTTTCTTAGATTTGTTTAATTTATTTATTTGCGTTTCGTTTAAATTAAACTTTTTATTTCCTAGTTCCAATTTGATTGTTTGCAAGCTGTATTGTTACCCTTTTTTTTTACTATGTGCAGATTTAATTTATGTATATAATTATGTATGATATATTTGTTGGTTTTAACAGTAAATTGTCTTGTACATTATCAAAAATAAATAAAAGATCCTCCTCACAATGAATATGCTCATTTTCTTTATGATTAGATATAGACTACTCTATTATATTGCAATGTAATTCTAAAGGAATGTTGGGGGTTTTACTTGTTGGATAAATTCAAACTTTTGGAAACAAACAAACTTAATCCCTAGATTAACACAAAGGTTTATCACATAATTTTTAATTTCAATTAAATCATTATTGGAAACTTTGAGATTCATTTTTAAAATAAAATCTATTTGATCAATAGTATATTTCAATCTAGGAATTTTCGTAATTAAACCATTATCAAAATATATATTTCCTTTTATGTTACTTAAATATTTTTCTTCATTTAAGCTTGGAATTCTTATAGCAGTTTTTTATAATTTTTTTTTTATAACATTTTATTAGAGAATATACAATCTATACCCAAAGGCATAATAAGAATATGTGCTACATTATATTAAAAATAAACATGAATAGGGTGAGGGAAGAAACCATCCAGTGATCGCACTTCTTTTTGCTTAAATATATGTGCAACTATATTTTTTTTTTAATTATTATTAACATTTTTTTTTTTTTCGTTTTATTTTTTTTTTCTCGTTATTCATTTAGAAGATCTCTACACCAGTTTCTTTTTAATCGTCGTGGAGGGTTTCCAGGAATTGTGCGAGTGGCTAAGCCGGATATCAGGGGATTTGAGTGAGCAGACAGTTTGTTAAAAAAAAGTTTGTAATACATTTTAGCTTCTTCATGTATAGTTTTCATTTTTAAGTCAGAGTGGAGAGTATAATTAGAAATATAAGGGG